GTTCCTTTTGTTTTTCGTTTTTGTTAGTCAGTATACTTGCGTAGAATTTTGTTTAGAGTAAAAGAAATAGAATATGAATTCCACACATATAAGATGTAAGTAATTTCGACAATATTTATCTGGTGTGTAAATAAAGTGAACGGGACATTTATGAACATCTGGAAAGGAAAAAAAGGTCGTATTAATCATGGTCTGTGTTAGTTACGAACTTCGAGATTGTAACAACTCTTTTATCTTCTTCATGTTGTTGTTGAATTATTAATGTGCCATAGGACTGCGAGAGCCATTATCGATATGTGCAACCCCTGTCACCATCCATTCACATTAGTCGCTAATGCTTGTCTTTCTTAAATAAGATCTGAAGAGAAATGGTACACTAGTTTTTATAATTCAAAAAAAAAAATTAGCTAGAGTTGCATGAAAATATCTATTATACAACGAAAATATCTCATCTTGAAATGCAAGGCACCAGATGGGATATCTGATTGTCGTCATGTTGTTAATGATGTTTTGTTTCTGAGGTTATTAACAAACAAACATTGTCTTCCTGCGCAAAAGACCTTTGCATAGTAAATTAAACATCTCAATCGCAGAACATAAACATTCATTCTACTTTGTCACTGTTACTTCTCTTATAAAACTCAAATTCGCCCTTAATAATAAGGCACGATTCATCACAGATACTCTTATGAGTACAAACATGGATATGGCAATCAGTATGGTTTTGTCTTCTACCTGTTTCTCCACGGGTGATAACTGATAACCTTAAATGAATTTACTTTTTCTCCTTCACTTTTTTGTCGTTAGATGAAATCTTGTAGCGTTATTTTATCAGGGGACGTTTATAATCACAACTCCTTCTGTTGACTGTGTCCCACCTCTTCACAACACAATCTATTTTCTCATTTTTCTACCGTCATGAAATCTCGGAGGTTGCATCCTACACAAAAGAACATTTTTACAGAGACCGCTTTAGCCAAAGTAATTTCAGGGCGCAAATTAATAAATCAGAATTAATTGTTCCCGTAATAGGATCCCGTTACCGAGAGCAAGGGGAGGCGTGAAGGTGCGAAAGAACTAATTTATGGCGTCGGACAGGTGCAAGAGAGCCGAGGGCGAAGGGGCGAGGGCGAAGTACGCGTGGGCGTCTTGGCGGCGCAACGTCGTGGGCGCTGAGTGGCGGGCGGGCACGTTAAGGAGCCGGCTAATGAGAATAAACTGGGCGCGAGGGCGTGCGTCTTGCTTTCTCCTTTCGCCGCCTGACGCGCCACCCTCGCTCCGCGCGCTCCTCCGATCTTCGCCGCTCTCCCGTCCGCTCCTGCTGCTCGGCTTGGCCGCGCGCTCTGTTCCGTAGCGTTGGGACCTTTTTCGTGTGGGTATTCTCCGTCTGGTGATTTCATGAGGTTCCAGTAATTTAATTAAAAGCGAATGTCATTGCAAACAGTTTTACAAGAGCAGCTTTCCATAGCTTAGCCATCATCATCATTTTCCTGCTATAAGACATATAAACAAATGAAAACATTTATTATCTATTTATTCTAATGTTAAATTCTTAATAATATTATCTATTTATTCCAATGTTTTAATTTGTTTGTATTTATTGTGTCAGGAAAGTGATGGTGGTGGCTAAGCCATTGAAAGCTACTTTTGTAATAAACAATATTTCGGCAATGACAGCGCCAATGAATTATTTCATATTACGTGGCAACGACAACTCACCGCTAAATCAATATTTCAGTTATTTGCCAGCATGACACTGCACTGATGGTCTTTATTGCTGATATCGCAGCTCACAACTTTGCAGGGCATTAGGAATAGGATTTTGTTCTGTGACTTCATATTAATTTGGAATTTACATTTTTTTCATTGTCCTTCTTCAATATAATGCCTTGGAAACAGTCATTTTTACTTGCAACTAATATTTTAACTTACACATGCTTTAGTACCAGACTTCCCCATCAGACATTGACAAACTATTTTTATTTCGCCAATAATTTAACACCCTCTTACAGTTCAACCAAATTCTCACTTCCCGCAAACTAAGTCTGATGATCGGACCAATTTCTCAATCTTCGCTACTTCTTTGTCTGTCGAGTCACTTGACTATTTCTATTGTGTTTCTGATAAGAAATGAATAATTTCTTCACAAACTCCATTGCGGATACAATACTAACGTGGCGCGCTGATAACCTTTCCCCTCTTTTCTTTTCTCTTGTGAAGTTTGATCTCAATATTTCCCAATTAGGTCTCTCTTCCTTCACATTACACCTCGCCATTACCAACAATGACAATATATTCACCACTGTACTCCACGTTTGCCCCCTTCTCGTCCTGGTCATTTCGTCGTCCCTCTTGTCTTCTCTCGACTCCTCTGCCTCCCTCCGTGCGAGCCGCTCGGGTTTCTTTTCCACGAACCTCTCTCACACCTTCGTAACCTCGATTCATCGCGCTCCCCTCTCCACACGCGACCTCCGCCTCCGCCGCCCTCGCCCCCGCGCGGAGTAACTTATTCTTAAGGCGTAAGTAATATTGATGACGGACCTGGCCTTCAACTTAAATATCACGCCCGCCGTAGCGCTTCAGGTGCGCGCGCGGGAGGGATCGCAACTTCGCCTGCCTGCCTTCTTCCCGTGGAGCGCCTCGGGAAAGAGTTGCAGCGCAACTTTTGCCAACTTCAGTTATCAATTACGAGAAGGTGGCAGTTTAAGTTGTGGCTACGAAAAGAGCTGCTTGATTTCTGTGAAGATTTGAATGTTTGGACGCCGTGAAATTTATTTTCTCGACATGCTCCGGCTTCCGGCGAGGAGAGTGATTCAAACGTGTCTTTTTCTGTTCAGCCATAGGATAGAGTTATTTTTTACTATCACATTTTTGTCATTTTCTGCGTCATCTAGGCACATCTGTGGGGGATTGCAAAAAGCAATAATATGCATCAAAATGGTTGTCATGAAATTTAGAAAAGAATAAATCTTTAGTCAAGGAAAACGTGAGTGGATACAATTTGCATGAAACACTGCTATTGTATCTTTCTTCGTAAAACGAATGGTTGTTAAAACATTATTCTTTGTTCTCAAAATGCTTTAAGTCACGTATTTTTCAATTACACGCCATAACAAACTGAAAAGAAGATTTACGTAGTTTGAGTTGATTCTAACAGAATTCCAGAGTATGAAAAAGCAAGGTAAATGTTATAGGTTTTCCGATTCTATACATGAAAGTTTATACAAATGACCAGTGGCTCGAGCCATAAATGACTCCATATGCACCTTAAACACAAAAAATAGTTCTACGTGAAAATTTCAGAACAAGCAACAAAATTTCTTTGTGAATTAGTTGAAATCTTTATCAAGAGAGGCGTTCAATACGCTGTCTACCTAATTCTGAAAAAGGGAACCCAACGATAAACTTACCTTTTTCTTTCCACTGTAATTCCCTTCATCATTTTAAGTCTTTTCCATGTCCAGGATCTCCAAACCCTCAAAATAGGAATAAATGTGACTAGAAACTCTGCCTCAGCGTCTGTAATCACCGCCTAGGCAGACATAGAGGTTTCGACACTGCGATAAGAACTTAATAGAAGACACGTTCAAGCTGGGCGACTAATGGTTAATATCTATAAAGCCACATTCTTTACAGCAACGTGTAATTTACGTGACTTGTGTGAAAGTTAATTTTCATGGAGCATAATGCGCCAGGCAACAACTTTTCTCGATGTTTAAGTAATTGGTGAAGACACGCATTTTTGTTATGTTTCATTCATCGTCGAACGTTCTTTTTCGAGAAACGTCATCATAGAAACAGAACAGATTTTCATTAAAATAATATCCTGTCACATTAATATTGTATGGAAAGAAAACGCTACTGGATAAATACTGTTGTCGGAAATATTACATTTGGTCCACTCAGGAATATTTCGCTGTTTGATACCGTTAATTAACCACCTAGTTTGATTTATTAATCTACTTACAGCATTCTGTCAGTACTAAATCAAATTTTGGAGAATAATGAATAGAGCTATCGCGGTTTTCGCTAGTGTAAGGGGAATCATTGAACATGGGACGCAGCGATTTAACAGTGTAATTTAATCTAATTTCTAGAACAATGTTCACAAGCCGCCGACCAATTTAAATGCATGCAACCACAAAGATGTGTTTTAACTCTAGTACATGAGTTTCCGTGTTATCTTTTGCTTAATTTTTACTTGATATCTGCTGTTTCAAAATATTGGTTTTGTATGTGAGATGTCTAACTTTCTTCTCGTATATGTAAGAAGACTGCGTCATCAAACAACAAGAACAACACTGTTTATTGTAGTGGCAAAACACAATACGAATGTTATTCGACTTCGCAATATTTAAGCCATCAAGTGCGGAAAGCATAATAGTTTTATAAATAAATTGAAATATCTTATTTAGTATTTAAAAAACGTTTAATGTACAAACAGCGTGGTTGAACTGTTTTGATTATATTTATAATAGTGCAATAAGCAATTTAGATTTCTTAATACCAAACTATACGAGATATGCCTACATAATTCCTACGCGATTCATTTGAAATTATTTTTAAATAGTTTCAATTTGTTTGTTAGGGTGACATAAAGTGTTATAAAAGTTGTTGATGTGGGGGAGATTTCATTTTGATGGATGACAAGGTCTCATTTGCCGAAATTTTACAAATTTGCCCAGTTAGAAAGGTACGTATGTCGCCCAAACAGGCAGGTGAAAGGAGGAAAAATGTATGGTCAATGACATTCCCATTATTGTTACATGGCCAATAAAAATAATTAACATATACTTATCTTAAATGAAAATTAATTAATTATGTGACCTTAATTTGACCTTCATAAAATAAATAAAAAATTAAAGTATTGTGTTAATTTTTGACATTGACAAGAAACTGACAACAATTGCTTTTAAATAAAATAATTAATCAGTAGAGAGAATTAGAATAATTTGTCTAGAAAGAAGCGCATTTAAATCCTGCCGCTTTGCTTGCTGCAGGTGGCGCCGCCATGCGGTGGTATTCGGAGTGGCTGCTGCTGCCGACGGTGGCGCTCTCCGCGCTGCTCACCAGGTAGCAGGACTGGGCTCTGGCCGCGGCCGCGACGCGCGCCGGCTGAGCCGCGGCAGCGGCTGACGCGGCAACGGGCGCGGCGGTGACGTCACATCGGCCGGCGACCCCCGTCCCGCACGGGGGCTGGGGGGCTGTGGGCGAACGCGCATACCCCGGCTCGAGCGAGGCTGGTAGGGCTGAGGGACTTACGTCCGGTAGGCAGGCGGTGGAGGTGGAGGTGGAGGTGGTGGTGGTGGTGGTGGTGTAAAGCTAGCCGTGTTGAATGTTTATTGTTACATGTCAGAGAACGGAATGGTTTGTGATAAGGAAAATTTGTGGATCAGGCGAATTCACTTTACTTTTGTTTGACATATTATTGGGAAAATTGAAGCAAAATATTGTTGAAACGTTGTTGTTGTTCTCCAGGATAAATATTATTCTGAAAGAGTATTATTGTTCAAGAATTATCAGAGCATTTTTGTTCGTTCTCTACTATCAAGAAGACTTCTTGAGTATTCTACCAAATTGAAAGTTTTTTTACGTTAAATCAACTTTGTCGGGTAAATAGACAATCGTTTAGTAGAAGAATAGAATAATTTTAGAGCTTGATAAAACTGCGCCAATAACGTTGAACGAAGTACAAAACGGGTTATTGTAGCAGAAATCGGTGGGTTACATGTTTCTATTTGACGTCAAGGAACACGCAGAACTCAGCAATTTTCTAACCTTTGGTTTCAGTTGAGACGGAAATATATTTTGAGTTGTTAGGTACACCAGTTCGAACTGGTGATGAAGACTGGTGCTAAGAGCCGAGCACGGGCCGGGGGTGCCCTTTCGCATTGGGGGTGAATTGTGGGAGGCAGTGACTCTCGTCACACGGCCACCCCTTCCGCCCTCTGCCGTGTGCGGTGGCCCGCGACGTCGCCGTCTCCACCATCGGCAGCCAGTGCTGCGAAGACTGTGGCAGTCAAAGTGAGGTTTTGGAACCGTGAAAATGTGACCGTACTATAAGTGTTGGATATACTGAACCGTGACATGTTATGTGTCTGTTCGTGTGTCATGTGATAGTAAAAAAATAATAAATATATACGTGGAAGAATTGCTGCTGATTTCGTTCGATTCAGCGTTTTGGCCATTCACATTGCTAGGATATAAATGCACTTCTGAAAACGAACACATTTTTCAATATATCTTGAGCTATTGCTGGGTTTTAGTTACGACCTTTGTCGATGTTTTGGAGTAGAATCGTATTTTTACCACCGTAACTGAAGCTCCATTAATAGACAAGTAAAATATTGGTAAATTAATACTAATATTTTTTTTCATTTCAATTGTCATTACAAAAAATTAATAAAAAATATTTAGAAATATTCATATTCTTAAGTCGCCTGCAAAATTAGAAATTAACATATTCAATACTCTCGTTATATTGCATTGTAACAGGAGTCATGGAAATCCCTGTTATTTCAAAAATGTTTTGCCTACTGTAATGTAAATGCCAAAACGCTCTCATTCGCTCTGGTCAGGTCTTCCTCATAATTTCGAACATGTGAAAGCGAGTAACTTAAATCGTAACGACATGAGAAAATATAGTTGTTAATTGTGGGGAATGTTCTTGAATAACGAACAAATATGAACAGTTAAAAATATGAAACGAAATCCCGGGAATTTAGTTGGTTCCGAATACAATATTCTAGGCCCCGAATACCAATGTATCTTGGTGTAGCATAATTTTGTACAGGCATGTCCTGTGAAACAGTCTTCGTCTGCAGTGTTTATATTTGTTACATGTTCTGAAATGTTTTGTCTATCTGAATATTATAAGCAATTCTGCAATTCGATGTCCCTTTGCTATTTTTTATATAATTACTACGTTTCCATATAGACTGCAGCCTGTATTGATTATTACTGTGCGATGTGAAATAATGTACTTGTGAAAATTAAACCCCGCAAAAATATCTAAACTTCTCGGAGAAGTTTTAACTCGTGAACTAACATTTGTATTTTATATTATAACTTTAACTTATAGAATTGCATTAAAAGACGGTGTGAATTATTTTCCAATATATTTCATTGTCGGAAATGTTCCTTGCATTCTCCATCTCAGGTTAAACGCTCAACCGTTACTTGGGTGTTGCCAATTGTACAGCATAAAAGAGAGTCACCCATTGTAGATAAAAAGCAAAGAAAATTCTAAAACATGTTAGGGAAGTGCCGTTCAGTTGTACCCAATCCCACTCCTTCTCTCCTTACAAGTTTTGTGAATTTAGATACTGTGTATAAAAGGATCATATGAATGTACTTTCATCGAAAAGGTTGAATTTGTGTGTCAAGTAAATTTCTTATTGTTATTATGTATTTTATATGAAAATGTTGTATTGCATTTACACACGTGTATTGTCAGTAGTATATTTTGATGATTCAAAACATTTCAGACGAGTTTCTCGAGTGATGCAAAAATGATCCACGGTTACTATTCTACTTGGTGCAGTACAATGTACCAAACATCCACACTACACGTTCTTTCGATCCCCCATTGTTTGCATTAAAATGCAAAGAATTTAACATTCTTTATGTAACTTCTGTACTATACTGTTTAAAATATTGAGGGCATGTCTATACAATAAATTAACTTTTATCGTTTTCTCTTGTGAGAAGGTGGTGAAATTTGAAAGGATGTTGAACCATAGAATCTACAAGAGAAGTGTGTACAGTCATACTTGTTATAGGTGCACGAACTCATGTGGTGTATAAAAGTACCACGAGTGGACATGATGTTTATTTTATTGTTTTTCAAACGTTCATTTGTCACAACTCATCTCTGAAGTGCCAAGATGTGTGTGCACAAAATAGTGAACATATTTCTTTTGAAATGACAAAAATTTGTTGGTATCAGAATGCACAGATCATCGCTAATAATACGAAGAAGGTTCGTCGTCAATGAACATATTACGGAAATATACTAAAATGTATTAGGTGAAAATATAAGTGTACATACGGAAATCTTCGTTAATTTTATCACCATCTGAGCTATTCTGATACTGAAATTTTAAAACATGTTGGTGTTGATTTTCATTATCTTTTATGACTATAGTATATCTTTATGTATGATGCCAAGAAAAAATACAATTTTGCTTTTGTATTACTTAAATTTCAAAACTCCTAGGACCTTCATTGTTCCGAACATTCAAAAATCCTATGAAATTTAATAGTATTAATTTTTTTACAAAACACTGTACAGAAAATATATTTGAACTATTGAATGAATTGAATATACCTACCATCTATTTTAGGTTTGTTTTCAGACACAATTCGGCACTTAGCAACATTATGAAGCATATTATCAATATATAAAATCATATTCTTTGTGCATGTTTTATTTTAATCTAAGGAATATAAAAGACGTTTATATATAGACCAAATGGATTAGAAACGCTGATGTACAAATCAATGGCATAAATTCTAAGAAACTAGCACATATAAAATACAGAGCAATAGCGCATCAATACGTAACTTGAACGTATTATTAATTGATTGGCAAACAAATTAGGTATAGAATTTTCTTAATGTTTGCGGATAACTTTGTTAATATTTCATAGTTACCTGAAAATATTAGAACATTGGTTTGTTTTTGTAAAACTGAAAAAATAACATTGAAATTGAATATCTGAACATGGTTAATTAATGACCGAACTTGGCATATTTAACTATTTCTTTTTATTAATTTTTGAGATGGAGCATTAATATTGAATAATTATTCCCAAACTCTATCTCTCTGTCGTTCTCTCTCTCTTTCTCTCTCTCTTTCTCTCTCTTTCTCTCTCTTTCTCTCTCTTTCTCTCTCTCTTTGTTCTCTCTCTTAATCTCTCTCTCACCTCTCTCTCTCTCTCTCTCTCTCTCTCTCTCTCTCGTGCCAAGAGAAGTTTTCTAACAGCAAAATTATTTTTTATTAGTCAACTTAACATTATCTGACATAGTTAATTCGGTTTGTTCGATGTAAATGACTTCTAATTTAGCATAGAACTCGTGTTCTCATCAGGTAAGCAGTTTCTGCTAGAAGTGCAGATGGAAAGGCAGGGATATAATCGTGGACTGATGCAGCATCACAACTAGCGCACAAACTAGACTAAAATTCAAAAAGAACCCACAATCGGGAATTTTCAAAAAAAGACCCCATTACCGAAAAACTTGGGACCAAGGCTGATTAATTGGCATTTAAATAAAATATAGCTTTTGAGAAAGGATAACAAATATTATAACATACGAAAAATGATTATCATTGAAAGGCTTCTAGAAATAAAATATGGAAATTTAAATTACCACACACTCTACATAATGTTGTTATAGATATCACCCATGATAATTTGGTACCGTGACAATTCAGTATGCATTCTTATTATATTAGAGGTTTGATAAAACCTTATTAATTTAGATTTTCACATAGTATATAACACTACTTTTTCGTCATCTAAGTGCTCCAGGTTTGATGCTAATGATTTTTTGTTTCATATTATGTTTCACATTTCTATAATTTCATGCAAATTTTATAGGGCATCAAAATCCTTTCGCAGAATTTAAAGTGTTTTTTATGAATTGGGAATTGGGTTAATTTTTGATTGAGCCATTGTCGTTTGCAAATGGATTTTGTTGATGGCGCCCAGAATTATTTTTCCTAGAAATATAAACTTAGTGTCGGAAAGGACGTTTTTCAAAAGTATTCATCTTAAAACAACAAATCAGCGATAAACTTATAGTTTTGAGTTATGGGACATGTAATATTCAACACGTGTCTTCATTTTGAAGATACGAACGAAATCAAAGATCGTTAATAATAATAATAATAATAATAATAATAATAATAATAATAATAATAATAATAATAATAATAATTGTGATTTTCATTTATGATGCTGTAATATTTCATTATGTCTTACTTTTAATTTCATTCCTTTTTTCTTAAAGGAAACAAGCGAACATTTCTTGGACATGGACTGGACTAAACTGTTATCCTATTGTGTTACGTTCATTTTTCGGGTTACTCAATAACTTCGATCGTGCCTATCTACGAGTATAATTTTTGCCTATCTACGCATTTAAAATATTTTTAATGTAAATTGTGCATAAATTTAGATTCCTTGACAGCCTGGTAAGTTCGACAAATTCTTTCTCCATCCTTTTCTTCTTGGTTCCTATTACTGAGGATCTTACAAGAATATAACTACTTACAAAAGAGATTTTTTCAGTGTACTAGTCCATCTAAATTTGGATACTTTTACAGAGACACCAATATACTCATATGTACTTCTAACCTGTTGTAAAAACGAAAGTCAATGAGAGTACTATTCATCTTAAAAATATTGGTGATTTATTCCAGAACGGGAAATATAGTTGACAATATGGTAGCATTTATAATTACTGTTTTGTCCTGTCGCCGTGCCAAACAAATTCTAGTTAGAGTGGTCGTACATCGCGCATGCTCATTGGCGTTCTCGAATCGATTAGTAAGCATATGGGGCCAGTATTCAAAAGCGGAGTCTGTATGTGACACTTCACTCAATGCCATGTTTGCTCCACTGGTTATAGAAAGCTACGTAAGATGCTGATGCATGATAGTGATGAAATAATATTTTTGAATTTTTGCCTTTGATGTAGTACAATGGAAACATTGCGAAAAAGGTAGAAGGCGTATATCTTATTTAAATAATTCGTTTGTCCAAGATAATTTTAAAAACCTAGTCGAAAAAAGAATAATCTTGCACATTTAAAAATTAACTTCAGGCTATGTACTTTTAATGAAAAAGTCAATTTTCAATTTTTGTAAGTTTAATTGGTCTTGCTATAAATTACTCATTGAATTCAACTTTACGACTCACAAGAAATCATTATAACACAAAGAAAATAATTAGCTTCATAATGTACTTACAAAGGAAAGTAACGATATATACCTTTCTATTTTTTTTACTTTATATGTCCAGATGTGCGATTGCAAAGTGGTTATTTTACTGTTTTACTTAGAAAAGTGCAATATTTTCGATGAAAACTAAACAATTGTTTTGAAGGGATGAAAAAATACTTTTGTGCATTCTTTGTTGTTAGAAGTGACAAATATATAACAAATTTCAATAATTTTCCCATCAAAATATTACATTTTTCCTTAAATCAAAATCGACTTCTAGTTGGGTCACTTACGATTATACATTAACTGAGAATTACATTAAGCCCGTGCACGAGGGATTTACAGTAGCATTGCTCTGTTGAAATCAAATAAATTGTCATTTGTGTGTTCTAACAATGAAATTTACTACTATCGCCACCCGTACACTTCTGGAAAGTGAGTAAAAAAGTGACGCGTTTTTGGTCAAACTGATTTTGGTATTTTAAAAATCAAAAAGTTATTATTATTTTACGCATTCTAATTTGCATTGTTGTCCAGTATACAGTTTTTGCTCAATTAGTTCTCTTGAGTTAGCGGTTGATGCTGGCGAAGGCAAGTAAATATTTTAAAAGAAGTCTCGGCTATTATCAATACTAAATCTTCGTCAATATAAAAGTGTATTCACATAGTCATTGACTTGGATAAGTTCCAGATCAACAGTATACTAATTATGTGAAATGGTACGTATCAAAATAAGTAATACAAATTTGTTTCGAAAAATCTACCTTTTTTACCACAAATGAAAAACAAAGAATAAATGTTAACTGCGAAACAAACTAATCAAAGGTTTACCCAGTTTATATTCACCATCTAGTAGTGGAAAATAACCTCAAGGGTAAATTGAATATTTTTCAAAATGAATAATTTTGTGTCAATTGATGGTTAATTCACGAGTTACCAAAAATTAATCTCGACAGTACGCAACAATGTTTGAAGAATTTCTAACAGAATTTTGAAAAACTGCACGTACTACATTGTTATGTCATGTATTGAAATAATCTGCTGTTTGCTGAACATGATAATACGTTGATGATGCGAGAATGTATACAACGGTAATATTTTGTTAACATCGTATCACTTTTATTAATAGTGTAGTTAAAAAGTGCCTTACATAATAATCAATAACTTAATGTTAAGTACTTATGAACTTACTACTTAATAAATTCTACGGTGTTCTTTTGATTCATTTATCAAAAGTTTGCCAAATCTGAATCAAATATATTATACTTTAGAGGTTTTTTCTGACCTATAATATGTGTATCTGGAGGTCTCTAAGAATATAGCGTTTTATACACGATCAAATAAAAATTAAGAAGCCTTGTTACTCATTCTAGTTTATTCGTATGATAAATCTCATAGATAAATTATGCGTAATTCATAAAATACATACGCATATCAGACTTTTAAAAAGATGTGAGAGATAAATAAATAAAATTAATCTCTGCAACATGTTCTCATAATTCTTTTTTGGCAAATTAAACGCGCACCACAGTGTCATTTCCAAGAGATTCCTGTGTGGGAAACGCTGCCTCCGGTTCACACCAGCTTTTGCCCTTGCCGGCGCAAAGTGTCTTCCTGGCTTCGAGTGCGCCCCCGTCGCGAGGGCCGGCTGCCGAGTCGATTCCTCCGTCGTACCCGAGCAGAGGCGGCACAACCAAGCTGCACCAGCCGTCTCTGCTCGGCTCCGGGGGCAAGGCCAGCAGCTCCTCCTGCGCAGTGCCGCGCGCGCAGTGCGCCTCGCCGAAGATGTCGAACAAGATGTCGTCGCCCGCGCAGTGGACGTTCTGCAGGTCCCACACCGTGCGGCAGCTCCAGTCAGCCGACATGTACACTTGGCCCGGCGGGCATCGATGGCGAACGCACATGGTGTCCATCTCTTGCGCCGTCATGAAGTGCGTTTTGTTCACAGTCACCCATCGGTCTTCCCCACACGGTTTTAGTAGCTCGTAGCAGTTACCGTCTCTAGAATAGAGCACTTTGTTTTGCGAAAAGCACTTGAGGTCTTTGCTGTTGCACTTCACCTCCACTTTCCTCAACGGAATCTTTGGGTACGTCCCCCATTGCCGGTAGGTCGCGAGATTCACAGCGTAGCAACGGTTTCTCCTCGAAGGCTGCGTTATAGGCACGTACGTGGACCAGCAGTTGGGCTCGGAGCAGCACGAGCCTTCTCCGAAAATGTTC